AGGGCGTCGGCATACACCAGGCTCTCATACGATGAGGATGACCTGGACAAGATAGGAAGCGTAGCAAGAAAGCTACGTGCCCTGGAAGAAAAGGTGGACGAGAAGGCGGGAGCAAAGAAGCACACCCTGGCCAAATCACCCTTTTCGGCCAGGGTACATGCACAAAAATTGAGGCGTAAGGTCAAGCTGGACGTGGAAAAATTCACTGGAAAGGAGGATCCAAACGTCCACCTTGACACCTTCCACAATGCAGCACAGATGGCCGGGTGCACTGATGCTGAGGAATGCCTGCTCTTCTTCTCATCCTTGAGAGGGAGGCCAGTGGAATGGTTTAACGGTCTTCCCCATGGCAGGATTGGGTCCTTTGAGAAACTTGCTGAAGTTTTCCGCAAGAAGTACCAGGACAACTGCATCAAGAGAAAGAAGTTTACCTACCTTAACACGGTAGGTCAGATCACCTTACCAGTTACTATGGGGTCAGGTAACAGGACAGTGACCAAACAAATGAGATTTGTTGTGGTCGACATCAAGTGTGTGTATAATGCCATTCTGGGTAGGCCTGGATCAATTAGGTCAGGGCTATTATTTCCATGGCACACTTATGCATGAAGTTTTACACTCCCAATGGAATCGGAGAGGAAAGGGGTGATCAAAAGAACGCCCGGTCCTGCTACCTGGAAGCAGTCAAGAAGATGACCCGCCAGTTCGAACAAATTGAATTGGTCTCCCAGCAGGTAGACAAGGGTGAGGAGAAGGCTAGGATCGAGCCGGATGCAAACAGGGAGGAAATCCAGATTGATTCCTCCAATCTTGAGAGGAAGGTCAAAATTGGGGCTGACCTTCAGGAAAAGCTAAGGACTGAGATTGTCCAGGTGTTGACCAGGTAAAAATCATTATTTGCCTGGAGTGTTGCTGATATGCCCGGGATTGACCGGTCAGTCATTTGCCATCGTCTCTCTGTTCTTGAGGGGTCAAGGCCTGTAAGACAGAAGAAGAGATTTTTGGCAAGTGATAGGAGGGACTTTGTGAAGAACGAGGTCAAGGACCTACTTGAGGTAGGTCATATCAGGGAAGTAAACTACCCTGAATGGCTGGCCAATGTAGTCCTGGCTCCGAAGGGTGATACCTGGAGGATGTGCGTAGACTACACAGACCTCAACAAGGCATGCCCTATGGATTCTTATCCTCTCCCCAGCCCGGACCAAATGGTTGAAGAAACCGCCGGGTGTGAGCTGCTAAGTTTCATGGATGCCTTTAAAGGGTATCATCAGATCTTCATGGCGGAAGATGACGAGGAAAAGACGGCCTTCCTCACCCCGGATGGGACATACTGTTACAAGGTGATGGCCTTTGGGTTGAAAAACTCAGGGGCGACCTACCAGAGGATGGTCAACAAATTGTTCAGGCCTTTAC